TCAAAATTTGACCTCAGACTCTCAAAATTAGTCTACCTTTGTTAAAATATGTGTGTATATGCAGTGTCAGTGGTGTGTGTGCATGTGTGTGTGAAAAGTCATAAAACATTAAAAAGAATCTGTACACATATACACTACTTATTCATATAAGCGATCTAAACACCGGACGGCTGTTTCACTGCCTTGATGCTGAGTTCATTCGTAGTGAACCCGGTTGCATTCAACTAATATAATATAATATAATAGATATATTTCACATAAATTAAGCATTTACACGATTGACATACCGTTTGTACAGGCATGATTATATTTGACAAGTGCAATTTGAAATGAAACACTCTTTTATGACATTAAAAATTGGAAAGATGGAAAAAAATAACCTCTAGAAACTTTATTGGAATAGATTACAATATATTGGTTCAAGTCTAAATTATAATCTATAATATACTTATAGTTAGTCAAATTCATGGAGGAATTACAAAGTGTTGCGTTAATGGAAGGTAAGAAGAGAGGTGGTACACAGGGGCTAGAGTAAGACACACAGGATACAGACCTTGTGATCACCATCATTTCATCAATTATTAAAGGTTCAAAAATTTATAAACCTCCACAGTAGTGGGTGAGTACAGCATTATTTTGGTATTAACAGATACAAGGGACCAACTTTGCCATGGAATTTGTTATGTTGTTCCTCGTATGTGTCAACAATATTCTGAGAGACGAATCAGTTGGCTGGTCATGTGATATCAGAAACTGAATTCACAATATGCAGATTCATTCGAAATGTGGCCAATTCAACAGGAATTCGCATAATTCAAGGTGATGATTTCACAGTAGTTTCCTTCGGAATCGAAGAGTGTTCACGTCACAGTATGTGGTCCACTTGATGCCGAAAATGGTGATCAAGAATCTGAGTGAAATACACAAATTGAAACCGACTGAATGATACGTGTCCCTCTTAGATGGCTCGAAAACACGTCCACATATAATGCCAGAGTGGATATTCTCCTGCAGACAAGAACGTGTGAGTAGAATATTGGTGTCGTCTTCTGTGGGAATCTCGAACAGTGAAGCAACTGATTTAGTCGTAAAGACAAAAACAATTTAGATAATTGGGAAGGAATGCACAGAGGATGAAGCATGGACGGAGGTGGCCGAATATCAGTTCACTCAACAACAAACGAAGTCTCAATGTAGGCTTCTCAAAATTTCTCGTCGCATTATGCCAAATGAACAACACTGATGCCAAATATCTCTGTGCTCTGCTATCACAATGCAAGCATCTCAATGATCAGGCCATCATACACCTTTGTAATACTTGTGTATACACAGAATGACACCACACTTTCTCTTATTTCTTCTAATCACCACATTATCGCATGATTCATTAACATAATTCCACTTTCTTTCAGGTCATTATCATGGTTAATTAACTTTTCTCTATATAAAATCTCTTGTCAACAAACTGATAAATAATTAATTAATTAAGACGATGAGGTGAAGAGAGAAATAGTTTATCAAAGTGTTGAATGTGATCACGCCACACCGTCAATACAGAGGCATGCTCACTTTGTTTATTGAAGATCACTGAAGGTCAACGCCTACGGAAATGAATGCTTCTTTTACTACTACTACTACTACTACTACTACTACTACTACTACTACTACTACTACTACTACTACTACTACTACTACTACTACTACTACTACTACTACTACTACTACTACTACTACTACTACTACTACTACTACTACTACTACTACTACTACTACTACTACTACTACTACTACTACTACTACTACTACTACTACTACTACTACTACTACTACTACTACTACTACTACTACTACTACTACTACTACTACTACTACTACTACTACTACTACTACTACTACTACTACTACTACTACTACTACTACTACTACTACTACTACTACTACTACTACTACTACTACTACTACTACTACTACTACTACTACTACTACTACTACTACTACTACTACTACTACTACTACTACTACTACTACTACTACTACTACTACTACTACTACTACTACTACTACTACTACTACTACTACTACTACTACTACTACTACTACTACTACTACTACTACTACTACTACTACTACTACTACTACTACTACTACTACTACTACTTACTACTACTACTACTACTACTACTACTACTACTACTACTACTACTACTACTACTACTACTACTACTACTACTACTACTACTACTACTACTACTACTACTACTACTACTACTACTACTACTACTACTACTACTACTACTACTACTACTACTACTACTACTACTACTACTACTACTACTACTACTACTACTACTACTACTACTACTACTACTACTACTACTACTACTACTACTACTACTACTACTACTACTACTACTACTACTACTACTACTACTACTACTACTACTACTACTACTACTACTACTACTACTACTACTACTACTACTACTACTACTACTACTACTACTACTACTACTACTACTACTACTACTACTACTACTACTACTACTACTACTACTACTACTACTACTACTACTACTACTACTACTACTACTACTACTACTACTACTACTACTACTACTACTACTACTACTACTACTACTGTGGTGAGAGCGGTCTACTAGCCAAGTGGTGGACAGTAATTGAGGTCAATGTTTATGTATCAAATATTAGTCATGTTGTGGTGAGAGATGGTTGCTGGCCAAATTGGTTGACAGTAATTGAGGTCAAAGTTCAAGGTGGACAGGCGGTTACAGTTAACATATAGATGAACTGACACAGCCACAAGAGATGCAAGGTTAACTTTGTGTGAGAAACAACCAATCAACAGACTGTATTTTCTACTAACATTGACCTACAATAATGTTTATAAAAATCTATAAATACGTGTTGATTTTTCGTAATAAAGGATCTGTTGCCTGGCCCTTGTCTTCTGTTGTTACATTTGGTGTCGCTGCCTACCGACAAATGGAAAGCCTATGCCCTGCAGTTTTTGATGAAGACATATGGATCTTCGGGCAGGACTTTGAGGCTTATTCGCAGTTGAGTGGCGTTCAAGATCTGTCAGCGATAAGGCTGCTACTTGGGACGCTGCTGGGAGGTCGGGAGAAAGCAGCATATGGAAGTGTGAGGCGAAATACCTACGAATGTGCGACAGGGTCAGGCAAACAGTTTCCAAAGTGGGAAGGACCATATATGGTCACGTTGAAATGGGGTTGCGCAGACACAATCGCAATGGTAAACACCGTTAAACAAGTGGACATCCGCAAGCGCCGAGATTCCAGACAGCAAGACAACAGAGCAAAGCTTCAAGAACCGAGAAGACCGAGCCGACTACAGTCCAAACTATTTGACGGGGGGACGAGTGTGGTGAGAGCGGTCTACTAGCCAAGTGGTGGACAGTAATTGAGGTCAATGTTTATGTATCAAATATTAGTCATGTTGTGGTGAGAGATGGTTGCTGGCCAAATTGGTTGACAGTAATTGAGGTCAAAGGTCAAGGTGGACAGGCGGTTACAGTTAACATATAGATGAACTGACACAGCCACAAGAGATGCAAGGTTAACTTTGTGTGAGAAACAACCAATCAACAGACTGTATTTTCTACTAACATTGACCTACAATAATGTTTATAAAAATCTATAAATACGTGTTGATTTTTCGTAATAAAGGATCTGTTGCCTGGCCCTTGTCTTCTGTTGTTACATTTGGTGTCGCTGCCTACCGACAAATGGAAAGCCTATGCCCTGCAGTTTTTGATGAAGACATATGGATCTTCGGGCAGGACTTTGAGGCTTATTCGCAGTTGAGTGGCGTTCAAGATCTGTCAGCGATAAGGCTGCTACTTGGGACGCTGCTGGGAGGTCGGGAGAAAGCAGCATATGGAAGTGTGAGGCGAAATACCTACGAATGTGCGACAGGGTCAGGCAAACAGTTTCCAAAGTGGGAAGGACCATATATGGTCACGTTGAAATGGGGTTGCGCAGACACAATCGCAATGGTAAACACCGTTAAACAAGTGGACATCCGCAAGCGCCGAGATTCCAGACAGCAAGACAACAGAGCAAAGCTTCAAGAACCGAGAAGACCGAGCCGACTACAGTCCAAACTATTTGACGGGGGGACGAGTGTGGTGAGAGCGGTCTACTAGCCAAGTGGTGGACAGTAATTGAGGTCAATGTTTATGTATCAAATATTAGTCATGTTGTGGTGAGAGATGGTTGCTGGCCAAATTGGTTGACAGTAATTGAGGTCAAAGGTCAAGGTGGACAGGCGGTTACAGTTAACATATAGATGAACTGACACAGCCACAAGAGATGCAAGGTTAACTTTGTGTGAGAAACAACCAATCAACAGACTGTATTTTCTACTAACATTGACCTACAATAATGTTTATAAAAATCTATAAATACGTGTTGATTTTTCGTAATAAAGGATCTGTTGCCTGGCCCTTGTCTTCTGTTGTTACATTTGGTGTCGCTGCCTACCGACAAATGGAAAGCCTATGCCCTGCAGTTTTTGATGAAGACATATGGATCTTCGGGCAGGACTTTGAGGCTTATTCGCAGTTGAGTGGCGTTCAAGATCTGTCAGCGATAAGGCTGCTACTTGGGACGCTGCTGGGAGGTCGGGAGAAAGCAGCATATGGAAGTGTGAGGCGAAATACCTACGAATGTGCGACAGGGTCAGGCAAACAGTTTCCAAAGTGGGAAGGACCATATATGGTCACGTTGAAATGGGGTTGCGCAGACACAATCGCAATGGTAAACACCGTTAAACAAGTGGACATCCGCAAGCGCCGAGATTCCAGACAGCAAGACAACAGAGCAAAGCTTCAAGAACCGAGAAGACCGAGCCGACTACAGTCCAAACTATTTGACGGGGGGACGAGTGTGGTGAGAGCGGTCTACTAGCCAAGTGGTGGACAGTAATTGAGGTCAATGTTTATGTATCAAATATTAGTCATGTTGTGGTGAGAGATGGTTGCTGGCCAAATTGGTTGACAGTAATTGAGGTCAAAGGTCAAGGTGGACAGGCGGTTACAGTTAACATATAGATGAACTGACACAGCCACAAGAGATGCAAGGTTAACTTTGTGTGAGAAACAACCAATCAACAGACTGTATTTTCTACTAACATTGACCTACAATAATGTTTATAAAAATCTATAAATACGTGTTGATTTTTCGTAATAAAGGATCTGTTGCCTGGCCCTTGTCTTCTGTTGTTACATTTGGTGTCGCTGCCTACCGACAAATGGAAAGCCTATGCCCTGCAGTTTTTGATGAAGACATATGGATCTTCGGGCAGGACTTTGAGGCTTATTCGCAGTTGAGTGGCGTTCAAGATCTGTCAGCGATAAGGCTGCTACTTGGGACGCTGCTGGGAGGTCGGGAGAAAGCAGCATATGGAAGTGTGAGGCGAAATACCTACGAATGTGCGACAGGGTCAGGCAAACAGTTTCCAAAGTGGGAAGGACCATATATGGTCACGTTGAAATGGGGTTGCGCAGACACAATCGCAATGGTAAACACCGTTAAACAAGTGGACATCCGCAAGCGCCGAGATTCCAGACAGCAAGACAACAGAGCAAAGCTTCAAGAACCGAGAAGACCGAGCCGACTACAGTCCAAACTATTTGACGGGGGGACGAGTGTGGTGAGAGCGGTCTACTAGCCAAGTGGTGGACAGTAATTGAGGTCAATGTTTATGTATCAAATATTAGTCATGTTGTGGTGAGAGATGGTTGCTGGCCAAATTGGTTGACAGTAATTGAGGTCAAAGGTCAAGGTGGACAGGCGGTTACAGTTAACATATAGATGAACTGACACAGCCACAAGAGATGCAAGGTTAACTTTGTGTGAGAAACAACCAATCAACAGACTGTATTTTCTACTAACATTGACCTACAATAATGTTTATAAAAATCTATAAATACGTGTTGATTTTTCGTAATAAAGGATCTGTTGCCTGGCCCTTGTCTTCTGTTGTTACACTACTACTACTACTACTACTACTACTACTACTACTACTACTACTACTACTACTACTACTACTACTACTACTACTACTACTACTACTACTACTACTACTACTACTACTACTACTACTACTACTACTACTACTACTACTACTACTACTACTACTACTACTACTACTACTACTACTACTACTACTACTACTACTACTACTACTACTACTACTACTACTACTACTACTACTACTACTACTACTACTACTACTACTACTACTACTACTACTACTACTACTACTACTACTACTACTACTACTACTACTACTACTACTACTACTACTACTACTACTACTACTACTACTACTACTACTACTACTACTACTACTACTACTACTACTACTACTACTACTACTACTACTACTACTACTACTACTACTACTACTACTACTACTACTACTACTACTACTACTACTACTACTACTACTACTACTACTACTACTACTACTACTACTACTACTACTACTACTACTACTACTACTACTACTACTACTACTACTACTACTACTACTACTACTACTACTACTACTACTACTACTACTACTACTACTACTACTACTACTACTACTACTACTACTACTACTACTACTACTACTACTACTACTACTACTACTACTAGCAATAATATTTGCAGTAACATTTTCCAACTGTTACAACATCTCACGCGACTAACACTACTTGTATTACTATTATTAGCATCTCAGAGTAACGTGTATGCCGATAAACATCAGTGTTGATTTTCAAGTCAATGAATCACCTCAGCATTGATCCGCAACATACGAGTTGTGCGAAATTCTCGATTGATGAGATAATTTCAGGTGAACATTTATGCCTAACCTCCAGTGTGGTCAAATATCCGACCAAAATATTCAACCAAACAAATGAAACTACAAGGTTTCAGTCGGATCACAAATATCTCGTAAATTTACCCAGGATTGTTGGATAGTTGAGAACGCAAAGCTCTTGGAACTTTTATCCCTTATCCTCCTAGGTTATGTTGGACATATGTAGATGGCACATGAAAGGAGTAAATTTCGAAAATTCCCTGTGTGTTAGTCACACAATGTGAATGTTTTCGAAATGAAATTCGGGACGATTATTCAAACTACACATAGAGTGACGCATAAATTCCAAAAACACAGGATTCGTCTGAACTACGATACTATATTAAACATAGAATAATGAAATTTATTGTGCAAACCTCGATTGTGAGTTGTCTGTAAATGAACACCATCGAAAGCACAGTCAATTTTCGCAAATACCTAATAACTGATCTGGTGTGTTGGAGGCGATCCACGTGTAGATTTTAATAATCCATGAATGGCAGACACACATTTAAAGGATTTGAATGCACATTTTTCAACCGTAACCGGTACTGAAATAGGGCGTCTACAGCGGACAATGTTTCACTATAAGAAGCAATTTCCAGACGTCAAATATGTTACCAATGCATCAAGGGTTTTGAACTTCAGTGGCAAACGAAGTCATATTTTGGAAGTAACAAATAATCTCATTCTACTTACTCTCGGTAAGTAGTATAAATTTAAACACAAAAGAAAGAATGACTAACGATTGATTGGAAGGAAATTAACAGCACCCTATAGAAACCTTGGTAGTTGTACCTCATGGGTCTTTCATAGTCGTATGCATATTGGCTCACATCACATGTGTGAGTGAAGTTATTGAGAGGGTCAAGTGTCGATCTATACTCATTATGTTGCTGGGGTTTAACATATATAGTGTGAGAGTTTGGACGAGAATATTCATTAATATGGTGCCTGTATGAGTCCCGTTTAGTGCTCCATATATTCTGATGATCCATTCTACGTTGCATTCCCAAGTTATTTGCGTTGCTAGGCATATTACTCCTAGTTCGGGAAGGGGTGTTCTTACTCACATGATGGATGACGTTTTTGGGAATATGCTTTGTTACCCATGCATTGTCATTTTTTAGACTGACATGTTGCTTATTAGACTTATTGAGAGGGAGGTATGTCGAAGTCTGGAGTGGGACTCTAGGCTTTGTCGTCTTTCTTTCAGTTTCTACTGCGGGACTCTCGGGCTTGCATCCAGATTGAGTGTGGTCTGCCAGTGGTTTCTGGTCAGCCATAGTTTGTGCGTCAATGTCAACCTCATGTATGTCAGCAGGTTTTCCAGATGTGCTCTCATGTACTTTAAGATTGCACCCAGTGACACTGCTCTTACTGAGTTTCGAGTCGCTTTTGCTTGCCGATTTTTTTCCCGACACTATACAGGTGACTTTCTGTGCTTCAGTGTCCGTCGACACTTTATCACTGATACCAGGTGTATTTCTCAGTGTGGTCGACTTTGTATCGAAGGAGTTCTTGGTTGCTTCCCTTTTTTATTATCCTTCACGTTCCCCAGTGGAACATAGGGCTTCAAGCTAGTGGCTTGAAGTTTCTGTAGCAGCGCTTATCTTACAGGATGAAGTTGCTAGCCTCATGCCCAAACTTTCCTCTTCACCAGAGTTATTTCTGGCTTAGCGAGGTAAAGGAGTGCGTCGACCGGGCATCGATCCCCGGACCATATACATGGTCGGCGAGCGTCCTAACCACTATACCACCGACGCACTGCTTGCCTTTGGTTAGGCGTTTTATCCGAGACTACTTTAATAGTCTTGAATTTAGTGCCAGTAGCCAGAAGATCTTCGGCCTCTTAAATCGTTCAGCTATTATGTAGCTGTCGAACCTAAAGAGTATGGGACATGGATGCTTTAGGTCTTTCTTACTTAGGCGAATGCACTGACAAGGTGCACTCAAGAGATTCGCAGCCTTCAGCAATGAGTGCTGGACCGACTTAATGGGCTCGCTATCTGGTACATTATACACTATAGCGTTTTGTTTCGAAGCCAGCCTTTTAACAACTTCGCTGGATAGAAAGTCAATGGCGTTTTCTAACTCCTTCGCATTTTCTGAGTCAGTAGGCGTCATTCTAGAGGTCATATTAAAAAGCTTTAGGATTGTAGGATCCTGCAGTTCCTTTTTCATAAGTGAGATAGTTTCAGGTATACATTCTAGTGAACTTAATTTCGTTTTTAATTCATCTATCTGTAGCTGCATCTCTTTAATTATGCATGTTAAGTAAGAGAGCTCTACCTTTTCAGACAGAACATCTTCCACCTGTATTACAGGGGTCACAGTTATGTTCGAGTCTTTTCTGTTGGGTGAACTACTAATAATAAGGGGTGGTAATGTGTTATTAGACGAGCTGGTGCTATTTTTTAAATTAATGCTGTTCACACGAACACTCTTTTTAGAATTTCGGCCCATCGTTATTAAAGATCAATCAACAGTAAGCAATAAATGGATATAAACGAAAACACGTGCAAAAGCGTCACCTGATTCGAACGTACCGGTTGTTGACCCCTAACATCTGGCAGTTCTGTGTCCGCCATGCTGTACGACTTGTAAGACTTCTGACCTGGGTGCATTACCGCGCTTTTCTTGGAATTAATTTCCAGACTCCACAGGTAAGCCCATTCAGCTAATATATCTGGATTGTTTTGTTGTGCCAACCTATCATTGTTACCATTTACGGTGTTGCAGATCTTAATATCGTCTGCAAATAGTAAGGAAGATGAGGTTAGAATTTTCGGCACTTCATTTACGTATAATAGGAGTAGCAGGGGGCCAAGTACAGTTCTCTGAGCTACTTCACTCAGTACTGCTTTCCACCCTGACAGTACACCATTAACCCTTACCTTCTGCCTTCTATCCATCAGGTAGTCACTAAACCACTCGCATAAGCGTTGGTCTAATCCAAAACATTTAAGTTTACTAAGAAGACCTTATCGAATGCTTTACTAAGATCAACAAAGACAACGTCCAGTAGATGGTTCTTATCCCCGGTCTTCCGTAGCCAACGGTAAGTTTGTCAAGCAGTATCGTCCCGGTCGGAATCCATGCTGTTCCGCTGCCAGTAAGCCATGTTTTTCCATATGAGCTACGAGCTGATCCTTTATGAGTTTTTCTAACACCTTTGCTTCAATGCAGGTCTGACTTACAGGCCGTAGTTAGATACTAACTGCCTGCTCCCATCTCTGAAGATGGGGCTTATAATGCATCTTTCCAGTCCCTGGGTAGCCTAGCCTGGGTCAGAGACATCTGAAAAATCTCCGTAAGTGGAATGTAAATTATATTCTCCGAGGAAATTGGCGATCTAGGGTGAAGTCCATCCGGTTCAGGTGACTTACGTGGCTTCAGCTTATACAGTAGTTTGAGAACCACCGCATTCTCCACTATAATTGTGGGCATTTCATTGGCTACATCAGTGACCTCTCTACATCCCTGAGTGGTACGATTTGGCGAGAAAACATCACAGAATTATTCGGAGAGCTTCTCAGCTTTTGTTTCCTCTGACTGGGCAGCCTATCCTGTGTTGCCAATGAGGGACGGTATACCACTGCTAGTTTTAGTCCTGCGTTTGATATACGAGTACAGTCTTTTTGGATAATACACACAATCCAGCACTAACCGTCTCTAAAACCCCATATGACTTTTGTCAATCATATACTTATAGAGGTTCCGAATTTTGCAGTATTCCGTCCGAAACTCATCAATCACAGTCACAGCAAACCAGTCCCATAAGTTCTTTCGTTTTCTTAATAACCTTATTTCATCATTAATCCAAGGTGGTTTACGAGATAGTTTTCGAGGCCTAGACCAAGGTACAAATGGTGCAGTGACGCAACCCAGTGTATTCCTAAATCGCCTCCAAGCCTCCTCGACAGTCTGGTGTGTATTAACAGACCAGTCAGCTAGGGTTGCTGCATTTCGGATTGCAGGTATATTCTCTTACCAAACGTTTGAGCGAGCAGCTGTTGACCTATGTATGACAGGCTGAGTCCTAAACATAAAAGTGACAACTATATGGTCACTACTGCCTGGCGGCGCCAGGCACCTAATGTCACCAACATCCTCCTTCTGGTGTGTTAGCACCAAGTCTAGAGTAGATGTATCATGTTCAGGATGGTATCGTGTTGGTGCATCTATATGATGCACAAGTGCGCATTCAAGTACTGCCGGTATGAGTTTCCTGTTTGTAAACAATTGTACGAAGTAGCTGATGTTAATTCCTTCCAATTAAAATGTGGGGCATTATAGTCACCTTCTATTAGACACCTATTCTTACTACTCCACGTCCTGAGGTGATTTAGAACGAAATCGTCAGCTTGGGTGGTAGGACTTCTATCCATAACCTCAATCATCACAGTGCCTTTGTTCAAGTTAATGACACAACCTGTGGCTTCACAGGTGCCACTGACATGAGCTTCCGACAACGTCGATCTAGTTCCTATGTCATTCTGGACGTATAGAGAAACCCCACCATTGCGACTACTTACTCTGCCTGCTCCAATGCAGATGTACCTAAGTATGAGTGGAGCTAAGTCTACACCCACTAACTCTTTATGTGTTACGCAAACACACTATTTAGCAGACTGTTCCGACTGACTCTAATGTCAGAAAGAACAAAGAAACTGTAAATTCACCATACATCGAAATATGTGTAATTTATATAATAACTTATCCATGCCTGTACAATTGGCATGTTGCCGCATAAACGGGAATAAATATATATTATTAACCATGTTTCAGAGACAGAAGTCACATCAG